GATTACCGTATGGTGACTTTTGAATATCAGTCCGTACCTTCTTATTATAAATAGGCTTCTTTCGTTAACAGGGATCACCATTCTACTTACAATTATTGTCTCATTTTATGTAACAAAAGTAAAATAAGCTAACTTATATTACATTATTTGGACTATTGTACTCATCTTTGTTGCCATATTTATCACAACGTTTCGGCTGTTGTACGCTCCGGCCTTCTTCAGTTGGTTGGAATGTCAAACTGAACCCTCTATTTCGCTCACCGGGGTAGACTGTTCTAGTTCGACGTGCCATGTTTGACGGATGTCAGTTATCAATTATCTCCTGTTAATTTCCCTCTGAAAGTTCTCCACTGCCTTAACCGGGTATTGAACTCGATATAACCAACGACTTTATCCACTGTGCCATGTGTATAACAGACTCTGAAGCTAATTTATATCTTCAATATGTTCTTTCTCAATACTATGTCAACTCTATACTTCTATCGTCTCCGCCTCAAATCTGATATTTATACTATTTACTTATTCACTTTTAATCAGTTCTTTTTCCACAAGCGGAGTAGATATGTTAACTTACTGTCCGGTTCACACTCCTCCACGGTATTTTAAACAGAAATAAAGATTTATCACTCTTTGCTGTTTTGGCTAGGTTTACCGGTTTCTTCTATTTTTTTGTGTTTTTTTTTTGCATTCTCTTTCAGTCCCAGTAGCCCCCTGCATCTCAATACCATTATCGCCTTGCTTGGGCTTTAATTGATTAGAAAGAAAAAACTTCTACTATCATGTAACTTATCTTATTTGTATAGATTTTTGCTTCAGGAATATATTTATATATATATATATATATATATATATATATATATATATATATATATATATAAAGAAAAGAACAGTAAGATATATAATATATGTTCTTATAGATATTTTTTATTTTTACAAAATAGTGCTCAATGTAAATTTACAGAGCATTAATATTATAAATTAATTGATTTAAAAATATGTTTTTCCGCTACACAGTTATAGCCATGTTTCAAAAATGGAAGCTAAAAGCCCCGAATTTAATGTTGTAATTAAATTAAAGACATTAGTTCCATTTCATCCTCAAGCGAAATTTGGAGTAACTTTTAAAATTACTGGGTTTTAAAGACACAGCTAAAATCATAATTCATGTTTCCAAGGTTACAGATGAATCCATTTTACTAGACGAGGGGTGTCTGGGTGTTCATTATGTCTTTATTTTAATGTATCATTTATTGCTACGTTATAATATATATATTAGATTCTGCAGCAGTTGGTGCATATTTTCTAAAACATTTGCTCCGTTGTTGTAACTTCTGATGGCAAACCCAATAGTAGAGCTCATGTAACGCTTTGGGCACAAGAAACTTACTATTGGTTGTCCAACTAATTACTAAGTATCGGAGACAAGCGGTCGGTATAGTTTCGTTGAAATGTATCTGAATTTAAGATGAAAGTAACACTAGACAGCATAAAGCGGAAAATTGTTTCGTCTCTTACAGATCCCAAATAATGTTCTAATTACTTATATTACATAAAAGCAGGAACATCAAATATGATGCCGAGTGATCTCTGAAAATGAAGATTAAGCAGATAGCACTTGATCTGATATTCTGCGAATTGGCAATGCAGGTGTTCAAGAAAAAAAAAATCAGCTCGCAATAAATGTATGCTTGTTGACGTCTTTCCTACTCACGCGGTTTAATAGTGGCCGTAGATTTGCTATGTGAACAGCTGCGGTTAAAAGCAGCGTGTCAGAATGGAAGATCTATCCATCTAAGGTTAGTTTCTCCGTAAAAAATGTTTGATACATTCCTACATTCTTGATATATTTTTTGATAAAATTGTCACAAAACTTCCATGAACTTCCCCCTGACACCTTTAATGTTTACTTTTTATTTTCAGTTTTATGTGTTTTTATCTAGCTAGTTCTCAGCTTTCTCTTATAAAACATTAAGTTGTTGGGAAAATAATGTCCGATTTTAGAATAAAATTTCTGTGTTCTAATATATTATTATAATTGTTGCACAAAAATACTTTTACTTATTACTAATGATTAAAGTATTCTCTTCATTAATTTTATATCAATATCTTTTGTGGTTTATGTTATTGAGATGCTTGGAAAATAATTTCCGATTTTAGATTGAACAAAATAAGTACGTCATAATTTATTATTATAAGAGCTGCATATAAATATTCCTAATGGATACAGTTTCCTCTTTGAAAATTTTATATCAGTCTCTTTCAGAATTTACCTTAAACTATTATTTACCCCTCATCTTGAACCTGACAAAAGAAGATACGCTTTTAATTAATCTATGCGTGAGTACAAGTTTGGTCAAAATGTTTCTCAAACTGCGTATCTGATTTGATTAGTTACGCAGTGGAGATACGAACCTTGATGGCCGAGGTGGCAGAGGGCGTTCATCAGCAATCAACATTTGGAAAAAAAATAGCCAAAAAAAAAAAGTCAAATTGTCAGAGAAATAATAGTTTTCAAGATTATAACAATATTAGACTATTTAAAGAAGATTAGCAAGGTGAACAATCTCAATAAATGGGTTCCATTATGAGCTCAGTTAAAGACTAAGCGTTTGCAATTTTGTAGTGTATTCGATGCCGCATCTGTGAAATTCGAATGATCCATATATTTATCGATTATTGGCTTTTGAGTATAAATGTATCATGCATGAAAATATTAAACGGTTAGCACAATAGCTTGGTCATGAAGCACCCGAACACTTTCCAAAACCAAAATGGCATCAGCAGAAGATTATGGCGATTGTTTCATGGTGCATCATTAGCGTTATCCATTAAAGATTTCTGGAATCTAACCAGACCATCACTACCGATTTATTCTGCCAACAACTGGATGATATGCACATTCAGTTAGTCAAAATGTGACCGCCATTGGTTAATAGACGAGGTCCAATTCTGCTCTATGACAATGCGCGGTAAGAAGTTACGAGGATTCTAAAGCTCAATGACTTGAAATACGAGACTTTATTAACTTTATCACAAAAGCATGAATAATCCTGTAACTCAACGGTAGAAACGTATAGATGTTCAGATTCCAGTTGTAACTGATTTTAACAATATTTAAATAAATTAGTTCAAGAATAAATGTTGATTCAAAATCGGACATTACTTTCCTAACAACTTAATAGCTTTAGTTTTTCGATAAAAACCTAACAACAAATGATTTAATAATTTCACCCATCCAAAGGCAATAACGCCACTAAGATGCAAGATTTTACTGTCTGTGAAAGAATATGAAGAAAAGAAAACGTTTATTCCTCAGTGATTACAGTAATAAACAAGTATTAAGAAAACAAATGATCAAGATTATTTAACAGATCCTACGTTCTTTGTATACAGTAATTTATTTTTGAGTTTTATTATTATTCTGTTTGAATACTAATCTACAAAATCTTTACTATTTTCAAGTATTTTCTCTCAATCATAAATGGCTTTAATAATCAAATACATTTCTTACTAAAAACTTAATTATTAGTGCGTACATTCATTTTGTACATCTATAATGTCTTTAACACTTATGTACTTCCTTACATTCTGTGTCATTGAAATCTGTTTACGTTACTTTAAATTAAACTTATTATTATTAATTTTACATTTATTTTTAGATTGGGCCTTTCTCTAAATAAATATGTTCATTGCAGAGGCATGCTCAAACAATTTCGTGAATATCTTGTTTCGATTAATGTTTCAATTGAAATTTAATTATTTTCCATAAATTCATTTTATTTCAATCGTCAGCTTTTTCTAATATCACTAACAATGTGTTTACTTCAGTTGGTTCGTTAATGAATTTGCAAATGAAAATAGCACACCATCTGTTTACTATTCATAATATCAATCTAATTTTTGGCAATATAAATGCTCAATTACATGTTTAAAAAATAGGCCTTTGATAACGTACGAAACATGGATGTATTTTGAACTGCAATGAGGACCTGATTTATTTTGAAAGATATGAGAATAAAGAGGAACATCTACTTGCTGAAAACTGCGTACATACACATAGAAAATGGAACAATTACAAAAAATAGAATGTGGTCTGAAGAACATATGCATCTTGTGACCTGATTTATGTAACCTATACAACGAAATGATCTCATTAGATCTAGAAGTCCTACCTGGATATATTACTTACTTGCAAAGTTTTTCTAGAAAAGATACTCAGACGATACAGTGTTTAATGACAAACAGAGAATATCTCATACGTGGAAAACTCGATAATGGGATGAAGAAGGTGCGTATAATGGTGTTAACATCCCCAGCAAGAGAGACAGCTAAATTAAAGCAAGAAAACTATTCAACTATTATAATATAAGATGGAAAATGTCTCATAAAAATCATAAAATTCATTGGTTTAGTGAGAGAGATTTCTTCACAAAACTCAAGAAAATATCAGGAACATTTCATTAGAACAAAACATAAGAAGAGTGAACTGTTATGTAAAATCGTTTAACTGTTATGGCATTGAATGGTGGACAATTTAGTTGCGAATGAAAAGGAAACTGGAAGCAATATGGAAGCGCTTCTACAGAATGAATCCGAGAATAACATGGACGTAATGTATATGTAAGAATTTGGGACAAATCGCTGAATTGAACTTGCAAAGTAATGAGTGAATTTTCTAGAACCTATAAAGAGAAAATGGAGGATTTCACATTCAAGCGATATATTGAAACTAGATGAGCAGACGGGAAAATCGAGTAAGAAACATAACGATCTAGTGTAAATATTTTAATACATTTTTTTGTGTTTTGTTTGGATTTGGAGTTCATTATTTGCCCAACAGCTGTGACCCTAAAATGACCTTCCCGGTCATCGTGGGCCTGGAAACGGCAGCAATTAAGCTTGCGTTCTATGCTTCTCAAATCTGACAATCTCCAGATCAGAAAAATTGGCACAGGGCATTCGACATTATTCGAATCAGAGTATTAATTCGGTGATCTTACGTGAAACGGTCTTCATCGTGATCTGACCGTAGTGATAGACAGATAGATATTAAACCAAATGTTATATCCGTGGCTGCTTGAGTATTTGAGTAGACGCTCCGATTATTCAATTCGTCTACCGGCCAACATACTCTATAAAAATAAAAAAAAAGTATAGAAAATGTGCGCTCAACTTCCGTTATTTTCTTTAATAAGCTTCTTGGAGTATGTAGACAGGTAGACGAAATAGACGTTTGAAGTAATATAAATACATCGAATGATAAAATAGCATCCATTAACCATTCATATATTGAGTGTAATAGCAAAATTGTCCAAATGGTGTAACAGCAAAATTGTCCGAATCGTGTAATTATAATTAACGATGTTATGTGAATGGATCTTACAACAGAGAAAAAATGGCAGCACCATGCTAAAAAATGCTTACTTGTATAAGCAAAAGTAAGTTGTTGAGAGCCTTGATCGAAAACATACTTGAATATCAGGGAAATAATGAAAGATGAATATCTATTATTATACTGACAGCTATTTTTCAACCGGCGCTGCATGATAGAACGTTTGTTGATATCTTTAATAATGTGCATGCATTAATATCTGTTTTCTATTGGTGGGTGAGCTGGGTAGTGACACCTTCAAATTACATGCCCTGTGGTACTAGGAACTTCATGAGATTCTGTTCGTATTTCTTAATATATTCTTGGAACTCAGTTTCAGGAAAATCTTTCACTATCTTAGTCACGTGTTGGTGGATGCCAGACATGCTTGCCAATCCCATTAAAGCGCCACTTTTCATCACCAGTAATGACCCTGTCAAACAAATCTTCATTATCTAAAATATCGGATGAAAAGTGAAGCCTTCATCCTTACTGCTGCGCAGCAAATATTGGAACCACCATTTATTCAGAAATCATTCTCATTCACGAATAATTATAATTATTTCCTGGCACATCGGGACCGGTGTATTTGCTATGCATTAAGAGAATTTTGATAAAATACATAGACATATGTTTTTTTTTTTTTTAACTACCTGTATTATTGGTTTTGACATGAAATCTACTGTGATCTACAGAAATATGGCGGTCAATAAATGCGCAATTACTGCCCAAGCCTTTAGTCATTTTCTTAGTCAAATTTTATGTTCATACAAAGTCAATCGCTATCTTCTGTCTTCTTCATTCCTGTTCTTTTGTTGTTTTTCGCCTTACTAATGTTTTATTTTTATTATATTATCTCAGACTCGTAACCATTGCGTGTTTGTGACTTTATTACTTGGCTTGTTGTGACGTTTAATTCTTCGATGTAAACAAAACAGTTCGCTCTCAATTCAAACCTGTATGATTTCCATTTTATTTTTGCTTCCTCATAAACTATTCTTTCCTCTCTCTCTCTCTCTCTTTATATATATATATATATATATATATATATATATATATATATAGATAGATGATAGATGAATAGATAGACACATAAAGGGACACATATATATATATATATATATATATATATATATATATATGTGTGTGTGTGTGTATGTATATATACAGTTTAAAGGATTGCTATATTGTTGTATATATATATATATATATATATATATATATATATTATTTAAGGTTTGCTATATTGTTTGATATATATATATATATATATATATATATATAGATAGATAGATAGATAGACACACACGCAAACGCACACACATATATATATATATATGTGTGTGTGTGTGTATATACAGTTTTTAAGGATTGCTATATTGTGTATATATATATATATATATATATATATATATATATATATATATATATAATTATTTAAGGCTAGCTATATTGTTAAATATGTATATATATATATATATATATATATATATATATATAGATAGATAGATAGATACACACACACACACAATCACACACCCCCACACACACATATATATATATATATATATATATATATATATATATATATGTACAGTTTAAAGGCTTGCTCTATTTATGGGATAAAGTGCTCAGTATCAGTGATAGAGCGTATATAAATGTAAATGTAAACATTGAAGGCAACACTTCATCCTCTTTCATGCTAGACGCATTCATCAGGCGAGATGTAGAGTTTTTTCTCGAATATTTTGTATATACGAATCAATGGTACATTGTGGGTAGTCTATTATAGCGATTATGTTGGGGGAGTGGTTTTAAAATTTGTTTCTTTTTCGTTTATTAATTTATTTACATTAATTTATTTTAATTCTTTTTCCTTATTTATTTATTATTTTATATATATTTTTATTTAATCGATTTTTAAGTAACATAGAAAAAAATGAGTTGAGTTCCGATCGTTTTTTTTGAGTGGGAAGGTAAATATATCTTCATCCACCCAGAGTTTGTCGTTTTTGACTTGCTCGTTGTAGTCTGCTCTAACGGTAATTTTCTACGAAAGGGGTTAGATAATTTGTTTATTATTTACTTTATTTATATATTTATTTGGATTAATCATTTTTACTTTTTTTTGCTTATTTATTTTTAAATATATTTTATTTTATCTCAAACATTAAAACTAGAGTCCTTCATATTTCGCTCCTAATAAACAGTTGATCACTCTCGTTACATTTATACCACATTATGGACACGGAAATATTTAATTTCGACTAATTACTGAAAAAACAAACCATCCTCATATCCATCCACATATAAACTAAAATTAATTGAAAGAATAGGGAACTTTATAAAAAGAATAAGATGAAAAGCCCGATTATTTTAGACCAGGAACTTAATAATAATACTCAAATGAAGGAAAAATACGGATTTAACACAAAAACATGTCCCCCGCAAAAAAAAAAAAAATGAGATTTCGAGAAAGACTTAACTAACTTAATAAGAAATATAAAATTCCATGAAAAGGATTAAATAATGATCTAAAAGAACATATAGCTAAGATAAACAATTCAACAAACTTATTTATCGCAACGAACATGACTAGAAATTTATATGACCTAAGCCCCCTCTACACAGAATAAGTTACCCAAGGACAACATAACTAAAACATACAATAAAGCAACAGAAACAATACAAGAATGTATCTAAGGAAGCTAAAAGAATCGCTTTAGAATTAGAACTAGACGAGCGAATAATGTTCATCGTTATGGCGCAAGATATTATCACACTAAAATACGATAAAATAAATTTCAAAACCAACCCAGCATGCAGATACATAAACCCAACAAAACATGAAATAGGCAAATTATGTTAAACGATGCTAGAATGAATTAATTCACAGCTAAGAAAGATGTTAGGAGTAAATCAGTGGAAAAACCCCAAAACAAGTAGAAACTTGATCCGCAGCATAAAAGCAAACATAATCGCCAATTTATACAATTAGAGATAAAAGAATTCTACTCGACTATGCAAGATAATGCCATCACATTAGCCCCAAACTAAATAAGAATATACTCAAACGAAATCTCATAACATGAAACACTCCCGTACATCGCTACTATTCGACAACGAAGAAGCGTGGATAAAGAAAGACGGGATCTTTGATACTACAATGAGAAGCTTAGATGGTCCTGAGATCTCAGAGGTATATATTTTTTATATGAACTAAGCAAAATAATAGATAAAAATGACATAGCACTCTATAAGGATGAGTGCAGAATAACATTAATGAATTATAACAAAGAAAACAGACAAAACTAGAAAAGCAATAATAAATATTTTCAAAAATACAGGACTCGACATGTACATAAAAATTAACCGAAAAGAAGTAGATTATCTGGATGTCAACTTCAATCCAAAGAAAAAAGTCATATAAACCATACGAAAACGCAATGGAAAATCATTGTATATACACATATCTTCCAATCATCCGCCATCTATAATCAAGAAGATATCAAAATCAATTAACCGGAGGCTTTCTGACAATTCTTCGAATGAACGCATATTTAACGACCTTAGAAAGACAACGAAACTGACCTAAATGATAGTGGATTCCCGCCAACACTCACATATTAACCACAGAGCACAAGAAAGCCAAAAGGAAGAGAATCATTATATGGTTCAACCCACCGTACAACAAAAATGTAAAATCAAACGTAAGAAAAATATTCATCAAACTCTTACACAAACACTACACCGTATCAAGCACTCTCCACAAAATATTCAACAAAAACACAGTGAACACCAACAACAGCTGAACCGATTTTTTTCGTCCAAATAAAAAGCTCAATTAGAATACATCCAACTCAATTCATAAAACGTTTGGCACATGCGAGAGGAGATTCCTGTATGACAGTTCAAAAATCGGATAGAAAGAAAGACTTGAATATAAAATCGTACGTGAAAAGTGTGAGACATATTATTACTCCAGAATAGAAGGTTAGAGCTTCCTATAGTGGACTATGATTAATTAATAATATACATATTTTTATTTATGATCGACTTCATCCGAGTATTTCTTTTAAGATTAGAGAGTAATTATGCATTCTTATAGCTCAAAGTAAAATCCAGTAGCCTTATAAAAACCTCAGAGAATACCAGTAATATATCTTTAACCATTTCTAAGATACATCGTTTCAAATCTTAATCTAATAATTGAACAATTTTGCTGTTACACAATTTGGACTATTTTGCTGTTACACGATTTGGACAATTTTGCTGTTACACTTAGTTAATGCGATCAAGTTTATCATTCGACGTATTTATATGACTTCAAACGTCTATTTCATCTACCTATTTGCATACTCCCGGAAGCTTCTTAAAGAAAACGACGGATGTAAGAGTGCACATTTTCATTAATAAGTTTTTTTTTTCTAGAGTATGTTGGCTGGTAGACGAATTAAATAATCGGAGCATCTACTCAAATACACAAGAAGCCACGGATATAACATTTCAATTATTATCTATCTCTGAATCTGGCACACCACGATGAAGACCGTTTCAAGTAAGATCACCAAATTAATTAACGCAAAGCATGGACATTACCTAGATTGGTGACCACTTTGGAATAGAAGGTGATGTGTAGCTTGGGTGTGTCGGTGATATAATGCACAATGACTATTGCTTTTCTGAGAGCAGATTATGGGATGTGAGGTGGTTAACCACCCCAGTATTGATTAAGGCTTCGAAGACTTTGCCGAAGAGGGG